TGGGGCCCTGGGTGGCTAAGTTGGTTGAGTGTCTGACTGGCTCAGGTCATGATCTCACGGTTTGGTTCGTGAGCTCAACCCCCACGTTGGGCTCGCTGGTGTTCATGCAGAGCCTGCTTCAGATCCTCTATCCCTCTCTCCCGCTCTGTCCCTCCTGCTGTTTACGTTCTCTCAAAAATAAAAATGAGCTGCCTTGTTTTATTTTGTTTTTGATTTGTAGAGACAGGTATGGACTATTTATTAATGTCTGTGTTTAAAGAAGTGGTGGTAGTTAAAAAGTTTCAATCAATTATACCTAAATATCTCTCATTAAAGACAGTAAAACATGCTTGAGTACATGTGAATTCTACTGAGTAGATTTGCTGTCTTAAATATTTCAAGTAAAATCCCAGAGATGCTTATCCTGGGATCCCTATGTCCAGTGAGTCTCAGATCTAGTAGCTCTCTGACCTCCCTACTCCCTAAGTGTCCAGACAGATGTAATGAATAGAATTCCTGAATTGGGTGGAAGGTTCAGCTGATCTCTAGCACCCCTTCTACCTTCACTTTACCTGTCACTGGTTAAGGCCTGAAATGCAAAGGTGAGAAAATGTCCATACTATCACTGTAGTAGTCACCCTTGGACTTGGCCCATCCCAAGATGGTTTTCCATGAAGTAAATGACACCTTACAGGAATTACTGTTACAGGGAGACCATTATGTATTATAAAGTGCTTTGAATTCCTCAGGCCAAATGTGCTGTATAAATGATATACTTAGTCTAGATTTCATAATGCCTTTGCTGATTCAGTTCTCAAAAACAAATGGAGTGTTTATTGCTCAGTAAACATCTCCTCTTGGAACTAGTTAGCATTTATAAAGAGGGTGATTAAAGAGTGTGGAAACAATAGAAGAAGGAACAAAAGCTTGGCCTCTGCAGTCAAGTGACTAGCAGCTCGATGTGTCCATTTTTTTCTAGATAAACCGTTAAATTAGGAATTGTCCGTTACAATAATGAACTGAAGTGGTATTTAATCCCCATTTTTGTTTGTGACTCACGGCCAGCATTTAGTCACAGTGTAGACACAGAAAAACATACGCTGGATATGGGCAAATTATTTAGTAGATGGCAGACTCACTATTGAATAAACCTGTTTGAAACTGTGACCTTGTATTTTTAACACATTAAATAATAATAGTCTAACTTTGTGGTTATTAAAATCCTAGACCTAGTTCTTGTCCTGAAAGTTTATAAAACAAATTAAAGTAAAATTTATGCCAATATGACTTCATTCAAATAGTATATGACTCAAAGCAGCTATTATTCTTTGGCCAGATGTCTTATTTTTTTCCTAGATGTCTCACTGTTTAATAAAGTATAAGACAATCCAAATATGGTTTGTCTGCACCCCAGGTGTGGTTTCTTACTTTCCATGTTAAGCAGATTTTCTGTACAGTGCTTTGAACTATTGGCAAAAAAAATAGTCTCCACCACAGAAAATGCTATTCTCATTTTACTGACTTTTGGAAGAGAATAGGGTAATACTAATTTCTTTTTTTATAAAAACTCAACATTTCTTTTTGCTGTTCCCATCATCTCTCAGGAGAACAGTTTATTAGGTTTCATGAAATTAAGTTAGCAAGAGGTCTTAGGCCTAGTTACCATGTTAACTAGGGCCTCTACTCCTTGATGCGCTAAGAACGATGACAGACACTTTTGGAGTTTTGGTTTATTTGGAAAACAAAATCACAGTATCAAGTAGCTTCTAAAACATACTTTTAAAATATAATGTTTACTTATTCTTGGCTAATGGATTAGCAACAAAGTCTTCTAAAATCTAATACAAAGTAGGTAAGACTGAGGAAAATATGTTTGAGGGCTTTTTTCTTTTCCTTTTCTTTCTCTTTCTTCTCTTTCTGTAAGCTATTAGATTATGAATTCTTCATCATAGCTATAAATTGTTTACTTTTTCCCCTGCATTTTCCATTATTGACTATTAACTGCTTTCCAGAATGCCTTTTTCACATAAATAAAGGACATATTGAAATGAAAGTTCAGAATCATATCTTTGTTGCTCATATCTTTCTAGTTTTCTCCTATTATGTTTATTTTTCCTTTAAAATTCTAAAATGTGGAGGAATGAAAAAAAATGTGGAGGCATGGTAGGGTGGAAGAATTAAATTATGAGATATGTGAGATAATATAAAATTGAACTCAAGTTACCAAGTAGATGATTTGGTAGCCAGGAGTCATTTAATTTATAAATAACTATCTTAAAAATTTTTCCACATGTATGGAAACTATAGGGTGATTTTATTTTATTTATTTTATTTTTTTAATTTTTTTTTTTAAATTTTTTTTTTTCAACATTTATTTATTTTTGGGACAGAGAGAGACAGAGCATGAACGGGGGAGGGGCAGAGAGAGAGGGAGACACAGAATCGGAAACAGGCTCCAGGCTCTGAGCCATCAGCCCAGAGCCTGACGCGGGGCTCGAACTCCCGGACCGCGAGATCGTGACCTGGCTGAAGTCGGATGCTTAACCGACTGCGCCACCCAGGCGCCCCTATAGGGTGATTTTAAATATGGGAACTAGGGGTGCCTGGGTGGCTCAGTCAGTTAAGTGTGTGACTCTTGATTTTGGTTCAGGTCATGATCTCATGGTTGTGAGATGGAGCCCCGTGTTGGACTCCACACTGCACGTGGAGCCTGCTTAAGATCCTTTCTCCCTCTCTCCCTCCCCCCCCCCCCCCCCCACCCCTCTCCCCTGCTCATGCTCAGGTACTTGCACTCCCACTGTCTCTCAAAAAATAAATAAACAGTAAATAAGGAAACTAAACTGGCATACATGAGGCAGTGAACAATAAAAGATAGTATATAATTTTGTTATAAATTGAGTGATAAACGCTTAAGTCATGTGGGGCTAGGGGTGCTCCTGGGAGCTCCAGTGATTCGGGCAGGCCCCCAGCTGACATTAAGAACAAACAGGATTTGGGAGAGGTAACATGGAAGGGAGAAGCAGTGGTGTGTCTGGTCAACTTAGAGTCGTGAATTGCTGTTGAAAGTAGATGAAACGGGTGGTTACTGTGGGACTAGAGAATCGCCTTGAAAACCAGGCAGGTTTGGACTTGATAGTCAGCTATTGAATTTTTGAAGATGAGGGTCAGTATCAGAAGATGAGGAGAACCCTGGAGTTAGGGAGGTGAGATCCTGCCCAGGCCCAGGTCTGTCCCCTTCATTGCTCAGGTCCCAGGGATTTGGTGTGCTCTCCTTTCCCTGTCACTGTTGTCACCATCCTTCCTGGCTTCCTTCTGTTATAATCCTCCAGACCCATAGTTTCTGTGTCTGCCGCTAGCCTTGAAACAGGAACCCGGGTTCTTCCCATAAGAGGCTTCAAACACACGTTAGTTTGCAGCCTACTCTAATCAGAACCGGGTTTGTCTTTTCTGTTTCACAGAGATGCTCCCCCCCCGCCCCCCACTCCATTGGCCTTAACAGTGTCCTCAGCATCACATCCATGCTCTCTTTGCATCTTACCTGGATCCGTTTCTTTCTTGACGCTTGTTCTTGTCTGCTGAGGGATAACACTGGCCTCCTTTTCCGCCCACCTCCCCAACCAGTCCCCTCTCCTTTGCTGGTTTTTCTTCTGCTTGACCTCAAGTGTGGCCCTCCCCTGGGCTCAGTCCTGAGATCCTTTTTTGCTAGCTTAATTCTCTATATAGGTAGTATCATCCAGTTCCATCGCCCAAAATCCTGTCTAAACATTGACCACTCCTAAAGATTTATTACCAGCTTTGTTCTTGCCCGTGAACAGTAGGATCATAGATACTGGATTTCTCCATTTGGATGTTTCATGGACATTTCAAAGTAAACATTCTTCAAATGCACCTCCTGCTTCTGCCCAAACCTGTTCCTTTTGGTCCTCCCCTCACAGTAAATGGCACCACCTTTCACCCAGCTATGGAAGCCAAAATCTAGGTATTGACCTTCATTCTTTTCTTTTCTCGCCTTCCCCACCATTTCCTCCCAGCTTGAGCCTCCATCATGTCTCACCAGACAGCCACAGTACCCCTCTCAGTGCTTGTCACCCTGCATGCTGTCTTCGCACAGCAGCCAGGGTGGCCTTTTAAAAACCTGAACCAGATCACGTCACATCTCTGCTCAGCCAAAGGTAGCGATCTGCTTTAGCACTGAGGGAAGGTGGCTGTGCTGGACTTTCTGAGAGGCAGACAGAGGTTTCCTATGGACTACCTTCCGGGTCATTTCAGCCTTACACTTGGATATGAGGAACTTAGCCTGGGAGATGTGCCTTCATCACTCAGTGAAGGTGTAAATAAAGTGTGATATGCACTGAGGGGGGAGTATTAATTTAGATGAGAGCCCTCGGGCAAGCATTCACAGAGAAACAACATTTGGTAGGCCTTGAGGAATGAGTAGGCTCAGTGCACCGGAGCGATGGTGGAAAGCTTTAGGGCATATGCCCTTTTCAGAGAGTACCACACAGTTTGGGGGCAGGAGCCCAAAACATAGGTGGGAGAGGATAGCAGTGGATACTGGGACTTGAAAAAATAGGTTAGGCCTCTTTTGAAGGACTTTAGATGCTAAGTTAAATTTAGAGTTTGGGCAATGGGAAGCTGTTCTTAGAACATTGTACCAAATCTTTTTCAGTGCTCAGTTCTAACTCATTAGAGTGCATTCTCCTTTCTCTTACCCACATTTAGCAGTGTGGAAAGATTCACAGCTGTTAGGGTGATAACTCCTCACTTTAAATCTGATTCCCAGGGGAAGGAAGCCCTCAGGTAGGAAGGCCTTAAGTACAGAGTACGATAGAATGCCCCCTCCCTTACCCAGTAGGTGTGCCATACTTCGACTAAGATGGTGGTCAGTGCTTTTGATTATGAAGAATAAGGTAGAGTGTTTCAATTACAAAAGGAGCTCTCATGTGTCTTTTCTTTGAGAAGAGAGGGAGGGAATGTAGATGTTTGCTATTTTAAGTGATTTTTTTAAAATTTTCCTACAGGATTAATCACAATGAAAGGTTGGAGTTCCTAGGTGACGCTGTTGTTGAATTTCTGACCAGGTAAGGAGGGTTTTCTGCTGTCCCCTAATAATTACATTTTATAGGTAACATACTTACTCTGTTACCCTCTTTGTAATTATCTAAATAAGGGATTGAAACACAATGTATTTTGTCTCTTCCGTACAGCTTGAAAGCTATATGTCTGTGTCTCTTGCCCTGATAAATTGTACTCACTGACGCTGTAATGCACAAGATTATAAGATGAAAGGCTAGTGTCTTTGTCTTGTCAAGTTTATGTTCAAGTTGCTACAACCACAAGAGATCCAGCTTGTCTTGGTCTCGATGCTTCAGAGCTTATATTCAATTTGTAGAGAAGGGGATGATATTTTAAAATGTCATTTCATTTTCTAGGATTTGTCTTTAATCCATTTCTCACTCTTTCTGATCTCAAGGGAAGTAATTTTAATGACGAGATTTTGGTATGCATATGTGTGTGCGTGCATGTGTGTATTTGTATGTATTTTCTCTCCAGAAATGTGTTTGTGTCCTTAATTCAGGGGTAGGGGTAGGAAAGCCCACAGGGTCTCTCTTTTAAAGGGAGACAACATGTACCTCTCTGGGAACTATCTTGAGCTATTTGTATTCTTTCTGGGTCATTTCTTTTCGCAAAAAGGACATAATGAGACAGAGGGGGCTCTTCTCCAAGCCTGTTCTCACTGGACACAACAGGACTAAACAAGCTAGCTGCCCCAATCAACAGCAGATCCTAAAAACTGGGGTGAGATTTAGGAGCGGCAGTTGCTGATGGTGCAACTGTCCATGTGGCCTTCTTCCAAACCTCCATGCTTTCCATCAACCCCTTTGGCTTTCCTTGGGGCCAGTCTTGGTTCTGTTCCTGTCCCTGTTGTATTTGTAAAGGATATGCCACCACTGCTGCCTGCTCGGGGCTTCCAGGCTCGTCTTCAGAGGCTACTCATAACTCAGCCCAAGCAAAGGTATTTGTTTCCAGGCCTGGTATCTGAGTGTCACATAAATTTGCTCTTAGCAGTCCATGACCAACCGCTCAGGTCTTTGTTGTCATCAGATTTGTCAGAGAAGTCTTTTTTTTTTTTTTTTTTTTTTTTTTTTTTTTTTTTTTTTCCTTCAACGTTTTTATTTATTTTTGGGACAGAGAGAGACAGAGCATGAACGGGGGAGGGGCAGAGAGAGAGGGAGACACAGAATCGGAAATAGGCTCCAGGCTCTGAGCCATCAGCCCAGAGCCTGACGCGGGGCTCGAACTCACAGACCGCGAGATCGTGACCTGGCTGAAGTCGGACGCTTAACCAACTGCGCCACCCAGGCGCCCCGTCAGAGAAGTCTTTTAACACAAGTAGATGTGAAAATAGGAGTGAATGGTGCTGTTTGGGTTTTAGTACATTCAGATATACTGTGCTTCCTATTTAACTTTCATAGACTTTTAATCAAACCCTTCAGTTTGGTTCAACACAGCTGATACCTGTTGTGCAGATATTGTGTGCCAGGCCTGTTTTTGTAACTTGGAGCTACAGACAGAAGGTTGTGATGCATATTTATATATGTACCTTTTTTTTTTTTTTTTGCAGTGTCCATTTGTACTACTTGTTTCCTAGTCTGGAAGAAGGAGGATTAGCAACTTACCGGACCGCCATTGTTCAGAATCAGCACCTTGCCATGTTAGCAAAGGTATGTCAAGCATCTGAAGCATTTGTGGTAAAGTCGGAAGTTTTCTTCTTCATTCCATGCATAATTTTGCATTTGAATAAGTAACTCTTTAGGGTATATTAAGAGTTTAATATTTTATAGACTGGGAAGGATTTTTTTTTGTTTGGGTTTTAAAGATTCAGTCTTATTAGTTCTGTTACCTTTGTGAGTTCACCAGCAACTAATGAACTCCATGGTGAAGTAACTTGATAACAGAAGAGGAAAAATTTGACAGATGTGCGTGAATAGAGTTAAACATTTGGGGAAAAGGAACAAGAACAGAGCAAAGAAATGAAATATTTTGTATCTTCCCTTTGTGTAAAATTTCTGTATGGCATTTGTCTTTAATTTACACTAATAAGCAGCATTATAGCTTTGAATGAAATATGCCTGCCCATTTATACCCACAAGGGATACTTTCTAGATGTTTGAGAATTCCCAGATATCACAAATCCCAGTAGGGTTTAGGTTGTCCAGCCAGCCACATTGACTTCATTGTTTGACTCTTTTCAGTTTAGATTCATGGTGGACATTTTACTTATTTACATTATCTTATCTGATCTTCCTGTCTCTATATGGTGTCTTAGGACAGTAAATTAGAGCAAACCAATTCAGGCGCTGGAATTGGCCACCAGGATTCCAGTCCACAGTGGGGTGAGGGGGGACCTAGGCAGGTTGTCGTCTCTCCTCCAAGCCTCTGCTCTCTCATCTGTAAAGTGGAGATGGCATCAGTGCCTGCCACTCAGGGTGGTTGTAAGAAAGGAAATTATTGTTTGAGTGGTTTTGTTTTTTTAAGTTTCTTTAGTTATTCTGAGAGAGAGAGAGAGAGAGAGAGAGAGACAGAGAGACAGAGAGAGAATGAGAGAATGCCAAACAGGCTCCACACCATTGGTTGAGAGCCCTATGCAGGGCTCGAACTCACACCATGAGATCGTGACCTGAGCTGAAGTCGAACACTTAACCAACTGAGCCACCCAGGTGCCCCAATATTATCGTTTGAGTTGGGAGAATTCACTTTGTAAAGTACTTGGCATAATCCTTGTTAGTAGTAATCACAGAAAGAGGTAAATAAATTAGTAGGAGTTTGTTGTTTTTATTGTTGCTACCACTGTTTTCATTATAAATTATGACATTTTAAAGACCTGTGTGTTTATTCAGTAGTAAGGGAACTGTGGCTTTTAAATCTCCAAACACCAATCAATGATTCACTGGAAAAACTTTTCTGAGTTTCCCTTGATTTTTGCTTTCTTTTTCTTTTTTTTTTTTTCTTCATTTTATAGAAAAGACTGGATTAAACCCATCCTGGTTCTTAATTTGATCTTGCTAAGGCATTTAGTATATTCAAAATGGTTAATTTTAGCCTCTGGTTTTTATGTTAGCAAGAGTGTATTATTTAATTTTATGTAACAATATCATCATAATGATGGCATTTGAGAATGCAAGTAATGACACATTAATAAAAAACTATAGGCGACATGTATGCCAACTTGGTTTTAGGAGCTTCACAATGAGTGAAATTCTACAACCCTATGTACAACTACTTCAATGTTTCGTTGCTTTAATTGTCAAAATGTTTCCTGACAGGGCACATAAATGTCCACTGGAAATAAATGTTAATAAGTAGTTATCAACTATACTCCCAATTTTTTTTTCAGTTTAAGATATAATGGATTGTTTTTCAAACAGTTGTAGGCAGGATATTTACAAAGTTTGAAAAATTGCCATAGCAGGAAAACAGAAACTGTTATGTGACACCTGGGGTATGTACAAACCCGTGAGTTAATTTGCCCAGTTTCTCCCTTCACTTTTCTGTATGATCTTCTTCCACCCCAAGTACTGACACTCCCATAGCATTCAACATTCATCTGCTCCAGCAGAAGGCAGTGGTGGCCTTGCCCTCTGTCTAGACCAGTGGTTTGAACCATTTGGGAGGGAAGTACTTGACAGAGGATTGCTGAGAATCTCTGAGAATCTAATGAAAGCTCAGGTCAGCTCTCCACAGACAGATGAACTTTTAACACAAGCACCAGTTGAACACCACTCTCCTTTTTAAAAGTTCCACTAATGCCTACGGGAAAAAGTAAAGATGTAGAGCAGGGATTATGAAAACTTGGAAAATTCATAGCATTCCAGAATACTTGTTTGTAATATAAAACATGACTTGCAGTCTATTCTCAAACAGGGCTCCAGAGATTAGCAGACAATTGGATTTTCCCAGTGAAGTTGTGCAACAGATGAAATTTACATATTCTAGCATAAGCTCTTGCACTTAGGGATCAATTTTTTAAAAGATGTGTTTTCTGCTGTTGCATTTGTGGTAGTCGAAACTCATTTGAATATATTTTGTACTCATGAATTCGTAGCAGTACAGAATACTGATAGCACATATGTCTGGTTTTTATTGTCTCTTTTTCCAGTGTAAATGGATATGGATATTAAAATACACTGAGACACACGAAATCTGAGTATCCTATTTGAGGACTGATAAGACTTCTATTGTCCTAGTTGGTTCATTAACTTGTGACTTGGTCCATATTACATAGCATGTTCCTGTTTAGTAAGAATTTATTGAACTGAATTATAGGGTAATGGAAACAGATTTATTGCATGCATATGCAATGTTTGTATTTTTCTCCTTTTATGGGAAGAATTGTGATTTCCATTTATTCAGTCTCAGGAGTTTTATTTTAAAAAATCATTCATACTGTGTCTAGTTCTAAAAGGACTTGATTTGTGTCTTATAATACAATAGGGTAAGAAATCAGTAGGACTTAACTCAAAGTAAAGGGAAAATATGCAGGAAAATAAATGAAGCCAGAGTGAAGTTACTATATACAGATATATTCGTAAGTCCTACACAATTTCCAGATCTTGGCCACAAATTTGCTTCTAAACTTTCCTGAGGCCAAATTAAAAAAAAAGAAGCATAATTCATTACAAACAATAGTCCAGGAGCCCTTAGGGTAAATCCAACTCCGTTGCTCAGATTTCACTGAGCCTTCTGAAAGATGAGTACAGAGACCTCACAGAGTGGACACAAGTACAGAGATAAAGGGCCACAGAAATCCTTAATCCAAACTACAAAAAAAAAAAAAAAAAAAAAAAAAAAAAGATTTAGAGATACAAGGCATTTTGAAATCTTCCAAGGGTTCCCATTGGTTCTGCCACATACAAATTTGTTCTGTATAGTACAGACATCAATACCGTATAAATTGGGAATCAAAGAGGTTGACTTTGGGTTAGATTTGTGTCTCTAGACATGTTGGGTGAACCCAAAGGCCCATGGTCTTATAGCATAGTCTTTTTCCAGCTTTGGCTAGTGCTTGGTCTGAACTTGGAATTAGACTCAGATCTGATCAGTTCTGAACCATCAGAGTTGAAACATCAGAGTTCATAGAAGCCTAGTTGGGGAAAGGTTGAGATTAGTCAGATCTGAACCATATGTAAGGACTCCTAATGAATGGCAAGCTAAACTCTCTTACTTTATTGACATAAGACCAATTAATTTGTATCCATAATCCCTTACCCCCAGGAGATGTTGAGTTGTTGCAGTTATGACTTCGTCAGATTCTTTCTTTCTTATTGTCATTTTGAATTTTGTAGAAACTTGAACTGGATCGTTTTATGCTTTATGCTCATGGACCTGACCTTTGTAGGGAATCAGACCTTCGACATGCAATGGCTAATTGTTTTGAAGCATTAATAGGTAATTTCTCTTTTTATAATCTAATTTCTTGTATGCTTAAAATGTTTGGAGACCATATAAAATTCAGTGTGGAAACTTGGGACAAAGTTAGTTGTTTCCAAAGCATGTGAGGTCCCTAGTAGAACACTAACTTCACGTATTGTGGTTATTGTAGCTCTTCCAGAGCAGCAGTCTTGCTTTCTTTTCTTGCATTCCCCATGCTTGAACTGGTGTCTGATGTCATGTACGTGCATGGTTAGTATATACTGAATTGAATTGAAGTAAGTTAATATGTAGATGGATTACTTTCCAGATTTGATTCAGGACCACATGCATAAATAAACAGTAAGTAGGTTGCTTGTGAGGCCCTAACACTGTTTTTAATCACATTTTAAACTGTTTACAAGATTTTCTGACTTCAACAATTTGAAAACACTGCATTTTTTAAATCCCAGGGCTTGAGTCTATGTAACTATTACTTACTCACTTGAAGCAAGACTGATGCAGACACTTTACTTCCTCGGTTTCTTTTTTACTATAACCAGAATATAGTTAGCTATTGGCACAGGAAAGTTATGAAGAGTTAATGAGCTGGTGATTGCAAGTATGCTTTACAGTGAAATGTAACCGTAGATTGACAATTCCTTGATTTTTTTTTTTTTTTTTTTTTTTTAGGTAAATGATTGAGTACATTTTATGTTTCAAAGGCCTTTGTGCTTCCTTATCAATTTTTCCTTCTTCCTTTGAAAATGAGTATAAAAGCATCCCATTATAGTTTTGTACTGATGATGGTAACAAGAGAATGTTTAATAATTAGTATCCACAGTCTTTTCACAGCTATGTCTGTTTTGCACAAATATGTCTATTTTCAGAGAATGTGTCACATGGAATTACTGTGCTCTGTACACATAATAATTTTGACAGTGTTACAGTTGGCTCCCAAGCCAGGCAGACATGATTCAATTCCTTTTTGCTTTATTTATCAGCACTGTGTCTTCACCAAGTTACTGAGTCTCTTTGAGCCTCAGTTTCCCCATCTGTGACATGGAGATAGGATCACTTATCTCACAGAATTGTGAGAATCTTAATATGCAACCCTGGCAGCCACCCCTTCAGAGTTCCATTTCCTTAAACCTTCCCCAAATCACCTACTATAAGCCAAAGTCCTATAAATCTTTTGTAACACTCTTTACTGAGGTGTCCTATGAAGGTGAAGATAAGAATGCAAAAATGCTTTGCACTTTGCCTAGGGCCTGAGTAGTCCCCAAACCACTACTGCTACTTTTACTATCCTTCTCATTGTTACTAGCATTATTATTATTATTACTATAACTATGGACAAATAATAAATGTATTTATTCATCAAAAGTCCTGGTGACTAAGTGTCTTAATGTTTTACTTAAGAAATGCCTTTCTGAAGACAGATATAAAAATATGATTTCAAAAATATAGGACTATCTTACTCCAGAGTTATTTGATACTCAATTAAAATGTTATTTGATTTGATGCCCAGTTTAAATGTTAAATAGTTATTTCAAATTAAAGAAAAAGGTCCTGATTTTTTAAAATTTATTTATTTTTTATGAGAGAGAGAGAGAGAGAGAGAGAGAGAGAGAGAATCCCAAGCAGGCTCTGCGCTGTCAGTGTAGATCCCGACCTGGGGCTCAGTCCCATGAACCATGAGATCATGACCTGAGCTGGGGTTAAAAGTTGGAAGCTCATCACCAAACTCCACACCCAAAAACAAATAAACTAGAAAGTAAGAAAATGTTAAGAAAGCCGAATACAGGACACTTCTGTGGAAGAAGATATCCTAGATGGTCACCAGGCATGAAAAGTAGTGTCAACATCGCCCTCCTCGAAATACCACACAAATCAAACCACACTCAGATATCACCTCACCAGCCAGAGTACAAATGAACAAATCAGAGATCATGATGCTTAGATGTGGAGAAACGTGGAACCTCCTGCACCCAGGGGAATGCAAACTGGTGCAGCCACTTGGAAATGAAAACAGTGTGAGGTTCTCAAAAAATTAAAAATAGATCTACCCTAAGGACTCACCAAATAATAGCACTGTTAGAATTACCCAAGGGACAAGCAGAGTTGACATGGGGTAAATGGTAATTCAGTAATGAGGGAAAGTGCACCTCAAATAGCCAAATTCAGTGGAAAAGAGCCTGGCAAGTCCATCAACTGGGATCTAATGACAAAGAAATTGTGGTTTATATACACAATGAATACATGCTGGCAGGTGAGAGGAGAATGAAATATGGCCTTTAGTGAACGTGATGGAACTGGAGGAGTGTTGGGGTGCTGGGAGAAATAAGTCATACAGAGAAAGACAGGAGCACTATGTTTTCACCTTAGATCCTGAGAACCAACAGTCATGGGGAGGGGAAGGAAAAAAAAAAAAAAAAAAAGAGGTTAGAGGGAGAAGAGAGCCAAAGCATGGGTGAGACTCTTAAAAACTTATAGCCCAAACTGAGTTGATGGGGGTGGGAAGGAAGAGGTAGGTATGCGCATTGAAGAGTGTTAATCTTTGGGATGAGAACTGGGTGTTGTATGGAAACCAATTTGACAATAAATTTCATATATTAAAAAATAAAAAGATAGAATTCCACCCTCCCCAAAAAAGTTGGAAGCTCAGCCAACTGAGCCATCCAGGTGCCCCTGAGATTGTCCTGATTTTTATTTGCAGAAGCCTTTATTGATCTGAGCTCAGGTTTTATCAGGTCTTTTTATGGTCTAAAACATAAACTATAAATATAAAATAAAACCTAACATGCTCGTAAAGTCGGTATTTGTGCATAGTTCCCTTAGTAAGTTCATACCCATACCTCGCATGATAGTTCATAGTAGGCCTCTTTTTACTTAAAATATTGGATTTAGGTTTTAGTAACTTGAATTTCACATTTCAGTCGAATTTATAGTACAAATCCTGGCTCAGAGAGGGAAGATGCTACCTTTAAATTAGTTGCTCTGGTCTTGTCAATTTTTTTTCTTTAATGTGAGTGAGTTTTGGCTTGCCTTTTTGCTTTATTTATAGAGACATATAATTTTCTTTGAATATTAATGCAGCCTTCCTTTTGGCATTCTCTTCCTTTTATCTAGGAGCTGTTTACTTGGAGGGAAGCCTGGAGGAAGCCAAACAGTTATTTGGACGCTTACTCTTTAATGATCCGGTATTTATCTTGAATCATTTGATTTTTCTCAAGTATCATTATAGAAGATTTTATATCAATTAGTGTTTGTGTTTAAAGAGAGTGTAGGAGAAACAAAGTTCCCGAATATGCCATGGATGGTAGATTTCAATACAACAAAAATAACTTACTCAACCCTGTTGCAAATGGGAAAGTTCTGTGGGCATTTGCATTAGGAATTTGCCTTCTACCTGAGACCCCGTTTCTCCCATGGCCACTTAACAAATTCAATATGAATACTTTGCTTTATTTTCAAGTATCTTGAAGTTGATTATGATTTTCTGTTTTATAATGGTTGGGTACCTACGCCATGCAAGCTTACTTGAAGCTATAGCCTTTTGGCTTTTCTGTTTAGGATTTATTTTTATATAAACTATGGAGACTAGATAAATGTATATTTATTTTAGAAAGTCAGTTCATAGGGAGTTTCTGGTTTCTGACAGGGCTATGAATAAAGAGTATGAAGGTACTTTTTTTTCCTTCCTTAAACAAGTTATAGTTTAAGAACAAATGATAGATTCTAAAATAGTCCCTATTGTTACTAAAGTATTAAGCTATTAATATTGCTAGAGCCACTTTTTAAAATCCTGCATGTAATAGAGCATACTGGATGCTTTTTGTACCAAAACAAGTCAATTTAACATTTAAAGGGAGACGCAACTCTGTATTCCAAATTGAAATGTCATTATAATTGAGTGAAATAGCCCTCATGGAGCAATAAAGAACATAGGAAGCCAGTGTTTTAAGCCTTTGTGAAGCCTTCAGCTTAAATGGCTGTCAGATGTTATTACTGAATTACTTAGGATATTTAAAAAAAAAAAGAATCAATAGTTTTGAAAAATGTGACCTCGATAATGTTCATATTTGAGGATTTGATTTTTTTATATTTGTTTTTATAGAGATTTGTGATGATTTTATGTTTGTGAATTTTCTCCTGATGGGAAAGTTATCTACAGATGTTCCATGTTCCCCATTTTGTCCTACACATACAAATGAGTGTGCATCTTGATTTATATCTGTAGCAGATGGCATGTATTTTAAGTCTTTTTCTCAAATCTTAAAATATCTTTGTTTTGGCCTTTATCTTTTGTTGGCAATTTCAGCAACTTCTTTACTTTCTTCCTCCTTCCAGTCTTGCCTTACACTAGTCCCCTCACTCCCAGCTACTCCCTGCCCCCTTCTCCCATCGTACCTGCTG